GTGGATGCCATCACCCTGGCTTATCAGGCACAGGGTGTGCCCTGCCCGTTCAGGTTGCAAGCTCACTCAACTAGAAGTGTTGCATCCTCCTGGGCGCTGGCTCGTGGCCCCTCGCTGGTGGATATCTGTAGAGCTGCGGGCTGGGCGACCCCTAACACGTTCGCTAGATTCTATAGCCTTCGTGTGGAGCCGGTATCCTGCTGTGTTCTCACCTCAAACGGGTAGAAGCACTGAGAGGCCCCGGCTTCGGTTCGGCTTGTAAAAACCACTCCGGAGAGTCCATATAGTAGACCCTGTTGAGCTCCCCCGTCCCCTCGGCAGCCAGACGTGGCGGAGCGTCCGGCGCCAGGCCTTCACTCGTTGAATCCTCGAGAACCAGTAGAAGGCTTGGTTCCATATGTAAGGCCTAAGTGGATCCCATATGTGTAAAGTCCACGGTATAGCCTGGAGCCCGTGTTTCCCCGGCAGACTTCTGTCATTCCAAGAGAGTTACAATCACCTCCATTCTTCCATATGCACCTAAGTAATGTTCATATGTGTATTGCTTCCGAAACCTCCTTCGGGAAGGTTGAAGCTTCCGTAACGTCCCTGTTCCAAGTAGAACGGGTACGTTTTCCCAGTGTTATCCAGTCTTACTCAGTGGGTAGTGCCATAGCAGCAGTAGCTGGTCTTCTTGTGCAAGCCCTGGCCTACGCCAAAAAGTAGGGGCACAGGTGGCTTCCACAGGACACTGGAAGGGGCAGTAGCTGTGGCCTTTTGGTAGGATCCCAATTTCGTCTGTCATCCGACGTGACGTCAAGAGTGACCGACTGAAAGGGAACGTCTCGGTTACGTATGGTAACCCTCATTCCCTGAAGGAGGGAACGGAGACGTCACATCCCGTCGCCACAGCTCCTGTACCACCGCTGAGCGGCCGGGTCACCGGCTCGGCTCCTCAGCGAAAACCTGAATATGCGCTGCATCTGCTGCCTACTTATACTCACGCTGTGATCAGCGGCAGCTGGATGCAATAATCGCATGCCAATGTGCATTGGCTCGTTTAGTTTACACTCGAAGTAGATTGGTCTCTCTAAGCGAGATCCCAATTTCGTCGGTCATCCGACGTGACGTCTCCATTCCCTCCTTCAGGGAACGAGGGTTACCATACGTAACCGAGACATTTAATCTCTTATCTGAGGTCTGTCTCAGGGTCAGGGCTGAACAACTTACCTGCTTGAATATCCACTGTGGGAATTTCATTATCATGTGTAAGACTCCTATTGGTTAAGCATGGTAGAATACTCTCTGTATCATTAGAGGCGGAGAAATGTGAAATTGATGTCTCGTATTTGTACCTGTGTAAAACAAACACACATTTGACACTTATTATTTGTCTTATAATTTTAATTTAGAAACATAGTCTTGTTGACACAAACATGGTAACTAAAGTAGTTTATAGAGCAGTTGACCAGTGTTAAAAAATATATATATAATAATCCTAAACTTACGGTCCTTGGAAGAAATGTGGTGCCGCAGTTATGAAGGATCCCATGGCCATAATTAAACATCCAGCTCCTATGAGTCGTGGTCTATGAAGCTTAGCGCCAAAGTAACTTACAAAAGCTATTACAAACAAATTACCTGAAAAGAACCAAAAATGGTATCCTATTAAAATCACAGATTTTGACAAGGTGATGATATCATTTGAATTTGTACAATGTGATTCAGATGGAGAAGTAAGATTTTTAGAAGGAAAAAAAAATCCACCCCCACATTATGGGGCATAAGAAACGTACTAATGAGATATAACAAATTTGCCACCAATTCACCAAAACGTAAAAGACTAGTTACAAATTACGATTAGAGTATGTGGGTATATGCTTTGTTTTAAGCATTCTGCTACATTTAGGCCCAAAATGTGTCATTTGTATGCTTACCAACTTCAAAACTTCCATCAATGAATCCAATTAGTGAGCTAGGAATGTCAAAACGTCTCTCAATCTGTGTGACAGAGCTCTTCATGTAGCTGCCCTGAAATGCTTTGGCAAAGTACACAAAACCCATGGCAGCCAAAAACATCTGAAGAAGACACACACACACACATTTGGTTAACAGTTCATGTAACTAAAACCCATTATGAGTTTATACACTAACAAACTATATTTTTTTTACTTTTCTGAAGAAATGCAAAGTCGCCATTATGATGCTAAGATATTGTGGGTGGTCCCTAACATGTTGCTAAGTTGTTTTTAGGGTAGTCCCTAATTTTATATATGCTGTTTAGAGACATGCCATATTAATTACATGGTATGGTATTTCAACCCAATCTCTGTATGAGAAGCATGAACAGATCATACGAAAACATAATAATGAGACTGACATACATACTAATTTAATAATTTGCCAAGTCTAAACTAGTTGATTGTTCTTAGATAGTTTAAGATGGATTGAGTTGGTGTAGGTTGGTCTTTCCAGGCTGATCTTCAGCTGACCACCTGAAAAGTGCCCCCTAAAACAAGCCAACCACACCTGAATCAAACTGAAGTACATTTTGTAAATAGTTTTATGGAACCAATGGCAAACACTCACAGGTTGACCATTAAAAATTACAAATTACTTTGAAAATGACCAACAAAAAAAATGCCATTTATAACATTTGTGTTCTTATAATTGTTCTTATCATAACATAAGTGTAAATATCATTGAATTCAGCACTTATTCAATGCTAAACAAGACAGATGGACTTAGCAGTGACACATATGAGTAACCCACATTTTGATGACTAGTAAAACCAATTTCTCTACCATCAGATTGCCATTGTATGTTCATGTTACACGAGTTAACTATTAAAAAGTTGTAGTTTGTGTCAGAAGCCATGCCACTGATTAGTTTACACAAAAGGAAGTACACTAATCATCAACTGCCACTAAAACTAAAACTCTGACTTTGCTCCAAACATTGACCTTCTAGAGACTCTTTTTTTTCAAAGCGATAAGCGATAAGGTCAGAAAATGTCCTAGTAGAATATTGTTTGGAATGGGAACATCCTCATGGCTTGAGTAACATTTTTGCAGTTGAGTAACATTTGTGTGTTGGAGAGTTAAAGGGACCCAAAACTCACCAAAATGAATCATTTACCCTGATGTCATCCCAAAGCTGTATGATAGCATATATATATATATATATATATATATATATATATATACGTCTCGGTTACGTATGGTAACCCTCATTCCCTGAAGGAGGGAACAGAGACGTCACGTCCCGTCGCCACAGCTCCTGTACCACCGCTGAGCGGCCGGGTCACCGGCTCGGCTCCTCAGCAAAAACCTGAATATGCGCTGCATCTGCT